GGGGGGCTCCTTGTTTCAATTATAGTATAATATACCCCAAACCCTATTCCATAAGGGGTACCAGAAGGGCTTCTTTAAGGGTGCCACTAGTTAGGGTGCTCTGCGGCTTTCCTGATCAAAGGCTCTATCAGTGCGATGAAGGGTTTAGGAACTGGTGAATTTGTGGGTTCAGGTTTGAAGCTTGATGGGGTTTCTGGCTTGGGGGGGCTGGTGAATTACGTAGTACAATCCTAATTTTCCAGTTTCCAGGCTTCAGGGTCTAGGGTTTCGGGGCTCTGGTCAAGTCATGGGGCTTCGGGTCTCGTAGAGAGAAATCAGTCAGCCCCTGCTGAAGTGAAGGAAGGCTCGCAAGCACAATCGGCTTCCTCTCACACTCGGTTTGCAGTTCCCTGGCCATCATCCAGAGGAGTGGAGCTTTATTACATGTTATAATAGAGCTAATCATAGCCTCTAGCCACCGCTGTGGCTGCCTATAAACTTGGCTTTGACTTGGGCAAGGATTTCTGTTTTTTTCCGCTGGGCCTTGCAGGATGGACCCCCCCCCCCCAGTGGACCCCCGTTATCTGCAAAACTCTGCACCTCTGCGTTGAACATGGGGTTGATGACGATCGGAACGCCAGGCATGGGCCAAACCTCGCGAGGCTTTCTCATGAGCCAAGCTGACAGGTTCAAGTTTGAGGCTGAGTTTGGACCTAAGCCCTCTAAGCCCTCTAAGCCCTCTAAGTCCCATCAGTCCCATAACCCCAAAACGATGCCCCGAAAGCCTCCCAAGCTTCAACCCCTGGCGCTCCAAAGGAGGCGACAGGGGGAAGTTTTTAAAGAAAGCAGCGGGGGCCAGGCTGGTGAACTCTGTGGGGCTCCTCTAGGCCAGGATGGCGGGGAAAACGCTGAGAAATCTCCCGGGTCGCGGCGACAGGTGGCAGCAAGATCGTCTGTAGTATACTTGTTCTACCCATGTGCTCCCATACACTTTAGACGCTTGGGGATGATCTGGTAGGGTCGAGATGTGAAGCTCGTCGATGACTGCGGCGGCTTCTGACTTACGACTAGAACTCGGACATCGGCAAAGTAGGCCCTGGCATGAGCTTTAAAGTCTCTAAATCCTAAGCCTAGAAAACGACGCCCGAAGGAATGAACAAAACAGCTATAACCCTCGACCTGAAGCCCTCAACTCTACACGCCCTCAACGTTGAAACTAATTAAACACTAAAGATGGCGCCGGGCCGCTGTCAGTACCGGACCCATGCCGACTCGGACGCTGCCGAACGCCGAAGCTGCCAGGCCAAAACCCTCCTTAAGGAGCGGGAGGGGGAGTAGGAGTAGCAGTAGCAGCAGCAGCAGCGGTGTGGTGTAGTGTAGTGCTGGTGTGATAGTTAGCAGCAGTCGTCATCGTCGTCGTTGTCGTCGTCGTAGTAGTAGTAGTAGTAGTAGCTAGAAAGGGGGCGTGGGGTGAAGCTACATAACATATCTTAAAAGCGGCGCAAGATGTCCTCCATCCACCGACTCGAGATAATGACGTTTCTAGAGGGTCGTGACGTCCTTGTGTGGCTGCTATGAAATGTTATTGCAGCAAAAGCTGAGTCGCCGTGAAGTCCGTGCTCCAGACTCTACGCAGTCAGGTGGCTTCCCTAGCGCCACCTTGCACTCTTCATTCTAAAACCGCAAGATGTGGAGCCACGGGTACGCCATGGTACGCCCGTACAACAACTTTGCTGCATCTGGTATAGCAAGCATCAAAAGCCAGAAATACCGTTTTTGAAATCCCCAAAATGCTGCCCCTGCCAGCATTTTCGCAGCGTTGACTGGAACGCTGACTGAATGTTGACCGTGACTTCGAATCTGTGTAACGTCGGGGCCATTTGCGTGAAGTTGCGTGTATCAGAGTTGGAGAGAGCCAGAGCACGAGCCCTGATTGAAAGTATCCGCAAGCCATGTAGGAGAGCCACGAGCGGGCCAAAGCTAGACCCGACTTTGGGGACTGTAGTGTAGTAGTAGTAGTAGTAG